ACTGACACTAAGATTTCTAATACCCCCATTGAGCTTAATGTAAAGCTCAACACTACTGATAGTGTTCTTCTGGATAATCCTACTTTATATCAAGAGCTCATGGGTTTCTTAGTCTATCTGACAGTTACTCGTCCTGATCTTGCCTATGTTGTTCATGTGGTCAGCCAGTTTGTCTCTGCTCCTCACTCTACCCATTGGACTGCTTTGGTTTGGATTCTTCGCTATCTCTAAGGCACTATATTTCAGGGTTTATTGTTGTCTTCTACTTCATCTTTAACTTATGCTGATTTTGATTAGGCTGGTGATGTCACTGATCGCAAGTCCACTTCTGCTTCTGCATGTTTCTTGATAATTTCTTGATCTCTTGTAAGACAAAGAAACAAACTGTTGTTACGCTTTCCACTGCCGAAGCTGAGTACCGTGCTATGGCTCATGCCACTACTGAGATTGTTTGGCTTCGTTGTCTCTTGACTGAGTCGGGTGTCCCTCAGTCTTTTCCGACCTCCCTTTATTGTGACAACCGCAATGCTATTCAGATTGCACGTAACACTGTCTTTCATGAGCGAACGAAACACATTGAAATTGATTGTCATTTTGTATGTCAGCATTTGCAGTCTGCCTCCATCTCGCTTCCTTTCGTCTGTTTGGCATTCCAACTTGTTGATTTCTTTACGAAAACTCACACCACTGCTCGCTTTTAGTTTCTTCTTGGCAAACTCTCAGTGTTTTCTACTAAAACACCTAGAGTTTGTGTAACAACCCGCATTTCATGTCCTAGTTATGTTGCATGCATTTATATGTTTTGCCATGTTAAGATTGTTGTAGCAACCCATATTCATGTCATAGTCATATTCATGTTCATTTACATAACTTTGTCTTGATAAGTTTACATTCATGAATCTTGTCTTGTTTTGTATTCATGTGATTTGCCTAAGTGTTGCTCGCATGCTTTGCTCCTTCCTTGACGTGAAGCCTAGGTCATGCCAAACCTAAGTTATGTTAACCGAAGTTATGCCAAGCCTAGGATACGTCACGCCTAGATCATTCCAAGCCGAGGTCATCTCCAGTCTAGAAGTATCTTGGAACCCCTTTGTTTGACCTCCACCTTCGCCCTGGCATATTGGCCGAGATGTCATTATCTAGGCCGAGGTGTGAATCACCAAGGCCGAGATGTGTATCATCTAGGCCGAGACGTTACCTTGCACCTGAGTGATCTCGCCCTGGAGTGGTATGACCTAGACCGAGGTGTGGCACATCTAGGCCAAGGTGTGGCACAGCTTAGTCAAGTGTCGTCCTTCCTAGCCGAGGTCATTGTCACCTTAGTTGCCGAAGCCTTGTCCTTAGCCGATGTCATCACTTGCCGGAGTGCCTTACCGAGTAGCTTGTTAGATACGCTTTGTCATAGTCTTGTCTTGTCAATCTATCACCTTTTTTAGGAGAACCAATCAGCCACTGCCACGTGTCCGAGCTGAGAGTTAAGTCAGCCGATAGAGAGAGAGAACCCATCATTTTGTTGTATACTTGTTTTGAAGAGGAGAGAGAAGCTCTAGGAGAGGAAGAAGAGTTCTTGAGAGAGAGTGGATTTCGAAGCTTGATTCCTAGAGATCGAACCGTTAGATCCGTGTTCTAAGGTTAGATTCTTGATCTGCTCATGTTGTTCTTTATGTTTATGTTATTGCATTGCATGATTGAATAAGATTTGTAAGCCATGCATTGCTTTGAAGTTCGGTTTTAGAAAGAGAAAATGGCATTCATGTGTTCTTCAAGAAAAGTCATGTTTTGATCCGAAGGCTCATGCCTAGATCCATGTTTTTGTGTTTGTTTTCGCATGATTTTCAAGTATGGGTACCCAGGTCCATGTTTTCGAACTCATAGCATGAAATCCCAGATTTTTGTTATAAAGAAGTTATGATTTTAGCATCCATGTTCTTCATGATCTTCATGTTCATGTTCTTCCTGTTCTTCACAGGTGGAAACCTAGATCTCCAGACCTCACTTCCTAAAGTGTAGTCGCCGAGATCACTCTTACCTAGACCTCACACTTAGGCCAAGCATCGTATCTCACCTTGGCCTACCTTTGCATGATCACTTACACTTTCAGTTTGTCTTGTGCGCACCTCGGCGTGCAGCCACATGCCGAAGCCTAGGTAGCCACACCTCGGCCAGGAGGTGTGGGACCTCGGCAAAGACCTGGTTGGTACCCAGCATGTCTTTCTGACATATAAAACAGTGTTTTGACTTCCAGCATATTTTCCCGAGGTTATTTGCATGCATGTGAGACTAGTTTGAGAAGTGCATTCAGTATGCTTTGCCATGTGTTGTAGGACTTGGACCTTTGCCTTGACCCCGACGTCCCAAGAACTAATGTGAGTGGTATTTTTAATAAAGTTATGTTCTTAAGGTTTTGATAAAGCTTTGCCTTGTTTTGATAAAAGTATTTGTTAAGCATGAATGATATCCCTATTTTATGTATCAAGTATAAGCTTCGTTTTGAATGGCAATGTATCAAGTAAGCTTTGTTTTGACGACGTTCACCAAGTGTTAAAGGGCTACGGGCTCTTGTAACATAGGTCCCTTGTGCTGGAGGACTCTAAACTTGAGTAGCACCCAAGTGTTAAAGGGCTACGGGCTCTTGTAACATAGGTCCCTTGTGCTGGAGGACTCTAAATTTGAGCAGCACCCAAGTGTTAAAAGGCTACGGGCTCTTGCTTGGTCTTGTTTTGCCCAACTTGAGCGGCACCCAAGTGTTAAAGGGCTACGGGCTCTTGTAACATAGGTCCCTTGTGCTGGAGGACTCTAAATTTGAGCAGCACCCAAGTGTTAAAGGGCTACGGGCTCTTGCTTGGTCTTGTTTTGCCACTGGCGGTTTACCGCGTGGGTCTTGTAAGTAAGTAAGTTTTGAAGGACCAAGGTTATGCTGAGGTTATGTTATAAGATTTGACGTATGTTAAGTAAGTAAGTTTTGTAAGATCAAGTTTGATGAACAAGATTTATCTCATGTTTTGTACAAGCTATGACAAGTATGGTTTTGACAAAGACATATTTTGTATTGTTTTGAAAGACCTCGGGAATGATTCATTTAACCCCTTTATTACTTATACCATTCACTGAGTATCCAAGTTCGCCCTCCCTATGTATATATGTAGGTAACAAGCAAGAAGTCAGCTTCGCCGAGATGTGTGTTTTGTATGCATGTTATGTCGGCAATCCCGAAGATTATGTTCCATGATTTGTAACTCAAGTGTTTTATTTATGTCGGCAATTTTGATGCTTATGTATTTCGAACATGTCGGCTTGTAAAGCCTTTTGTTAAGATGTAATATGTATTTTGTACTTTATTTTATTTGTATTCAAGTTGTAAAGCTATGTAAAGATGTATGCCACTTGATTTGACTTATGCACTGCTCTTATGGACCACTTGTATTTTAGATAATTGCTTCCGCGCTTGTGAGCCCCCTATATCTATACTCTGATTGTGTGTGAATTTTGGAAGTTGGCCTTCGGTAATCACGGATTACTGGCCATCATGGCACCAAACTACTAGGGGCGGTTTGAGGTCGTGATAGTTTGAGTGGGGGTGAGAATATTATGTTAATTATGGAATGTATTTTAGATTGATTGTATTTTCTATTTCAGATTAGGGTTAGGATTGCTATATATATTGATTGTAATATTTGTATTAGTACTATGAAAAATACAGAAAAGCTTTCTGGAATCTTACACCACCTCGCAATGACTTTCGCGTAGCTCAATTTGTTGCTCGTTGCTTTTGAGCCTAAGCTTATGCTCGCTTAGTAAGCAAACTTATATATACATTTATATATATCCTCAATAAAGGCTAGAGGTTTCTTGCTTGAATTTGAGAGGAAAAAAAAGGTAGAAAGAAGTGCCTTTTCATATAAACATTACCTTCATATTTTTCACCAGAAATCACCAAATTCTAGAATCCCTTATATCCGCCACAAAAAAACAGCAAGTTGTAAACGTACCTTAATATTTGTCATAAAAAACCTCCCAATTCTAAAATCTCTTACCTCTGTCATAAAAAACAGCCCAATGTGAGTTCAAGTAATATTGTGAAATCTGCTTCATTTATCAAGCAGGCAATTTAAGCTTGCTCTGGTGCCCCACCTGACTTGAACCTGTATTTTAAGCTTTTAGCACTCAGAATTCTGATCTTAAAGAAAAATGACCAAGGTTTTAGGCGTTTGCTTAGTATGACTCCTGACTTGCTTAGTCATTTCGCACATGATTTTCGGCTGGAACCATTCATGCACAGTAAACTCTGATGTGAGGTCCATGCTCCGTTAAAAATAAAGATTTTGTTATAATTTGCACTTTAATCCAAATCACAGGGATAAAAGCGTAACTACCCCATTAGACTAACAGAGGCAAAACGTGATTTGAGTTAACAACAGGCTTGGTGTGTACTGATGTAGAATGATTGCTCTTATGTAAAATATCTAGATTTTTTTTCACCATTCTATTGCATCATTTAGCAATTTGTTACTTTTGATTGTCATTCTAGCCAATTGTGTAATTCCAAAATGTCTTCAAGATTTCCATGTGGCTAAAATGATTCACCTAGACCTATCTTCTTCTTCTTCAACTTTCAATAGTTTTCCCCTTCTTAGCTGAAATAACGCGACTTCTGAACATAAAGAAGGAATCCCCCTTTCTGTGCTGATCATTTTCTCTCTCCTTGTTTCTATATGATAAATTGAAAGGGCAGACTATATGCACTTCTTATCAGGAAATATACGTTTTGATTTTCCAATATTTAAATTCCTGTTGAAATAAAACATCATAGAATCTGCTAAGTAGGAAAACTACATGGTTTATTCATTTCCTTAAATCTCCCAAAATTAAAATAATTTTTTTTTAAAAAGAGGAACAAAGATCATATGAATCCTAGACTAGTGAAAGCTAACAATGAAATGGGAATTGAGCCATAACTGTATAACAATCATATGTATCCTAGATTAGTAGAAAGCTAGCAATGAAATGGGAATTGAACCATAACTGAAATGGGAAATTGGAACATACAAATGAGAGATCCATTAACTGTATACATTCCCTCGATATAATTATCTGATACATATCAGTAACAAAGACAACCATATATGTAAAGAAAACGAAATGCAATCCACTCGCATGAATATGATTACAAGTGTTAAACATTTTCTTAGGATCTACCTTTGAAGTAAAGCAGAGTAAAATGAAGACTTAGCCACTGGAAATGGATGTGGCAGAGGTACTATCGGTGACTGAATCCAGTGAAAGTGCTGCCTTGCTATTCTTCAACAACACAGCGTCATCGCTCTCGGGCGAAGGTGGTGGCTGGGTACAATTCAACACCCCAACAGTGTCGATTTCCTTCCCGATGTTGTCATATTTGTACTCCTGAATTTCCTTCAGAGCTTCCAAAACCTCATCCATTGTAGGTCTCATTTTCTTTTCGCGTTGCAAACACTGAAAAGCCAGCTCTGCCACCAAGGTAGTCATCCTCTCTATCAAAGAATCTGACTCAAACCCAAGAAAAGGGTCAATTAACTCAACAAATGCATGATTTTGAATCCTGTTTATCGCTAAGTCAGCCAAATTAACCTCATGCCCATGCCTTCTAATGTCAACAGCTCGCAGTGATGATACGAGCTCAATGAGCACAACCCCAAAGCTATAGACATCACTCTTATCAGTGAGTTGGTAACAACGGTGATACTCTGGATCAACATAACCAGGAGTCCCCTGTGGAGCGGTTGAGACATGAGTGACATCGGTGGGGAAGAGTCTTGAAAGCCCGAAATCTGCAACTTTGACACCAAAGTTGTTGTCGAGGAGTATGTTGTTAGTCTTGACATCACGGTGGATGATATCAGAAGCATGGAGGTAAGTCAATGCACTGGCGGTTTCTATAGCTATGTTCATGCGAACAGGCCATGTGAGTGAGGCTTTCTTTGCTCGATCACCGTGTAGATGATCGGCAACAGTGCCATTGGGAATGTACTCATAAACAAGGAGGAGTTCACGGCTGTGGCGAGAGGTGCAACCATAAAGGGAGACAAGATTACGGTGGCGCAAGCACGTGAGGATTTGAACTTCATTAATGAACTGTGTCACTCGCTTGTAGTTGTGCTCGTATAGGCGTTTGACTGCAACTTCCCGCCCATCCCTGAGTTTGCCTGGTTGCGAAAAGATCATAAAATGTGCCATAGTGTGTGTCAATTTTATGAATTTAGAATTGCTTATACAAATGTGCTACAACTTTGAACCTTCTTACCATGGTACACAGTGCCAAAACCTCCATCTCCGAGTTCTTGTAAAGGATCGAAATTGTTAGTTGCTTCTTCAAGTTCTGTGTATGAGAACACATGGACTCCAAAGAAGATAGTACCCCCTTCGATGTCATCTTTTGAGGATGTATTTGAAGAAGTTTTCCTTGAAACGAAATATGAAGAGACATAATTCCATTTCTTGCGACAACTAATAATAAATATGAGCAAGCAGACAACACCTCCAGGTATAGCTGCAGAAGATACAAGAGCTCAATAAAAGATGAGTAACCAACCATCTTTTAGGAATTAGATATTAGTTTAAAAGTTAGTAGTGAATTTATTTATTTTTAGTAGATGTGTTAATTTGATAAAATCTGCAAAAGTAGAGAACTACTTCAATATTACTATTTTCTTCTCCGTTCACGAATTATAAAATATTAAAAAACAATTCTTGTATTTATTCTAACAACTAAGTAGTTAACCCATGCATTGCAACCGGTGCGATGCACGAGCTAAGCATATTTGTTTTAATAAAATTAAGTTAAATTATTTATATTTTTGAATATATAAAATATTTAAAATAATCATTAAATTGGGGGAAAAAAAAAGAAGCAATAGTTTAAAATATAAATAATGATTCTAATTATTTATTTTAATAATTTCAGTTGTATCGTTCCATAAAAGAGTTATTTAAATCAACACATATACTAATTTTAAATAAATTATTTATGTGTATTTTAATAATTTTAGCTCTATCGTGTTATAAAAATGTAACTTATATAAATATATATATATATATAATAAATTTCATAAAAATAAATATTTTTAATATTTAATTTTTTTTATAAAAAAAAAAAGTGGAAAAAGTAGAATAAATTAATTGGTAAAATATTTTTAGTATGTATAATTCTATTAAATTTTGTTTGTGGATAATTTAGATTAAGTAAAAGCCTTTTAAATATTAAGTTTTAGAAAGAATTTTGGTGAAGGTAGATTGATCTGGAATTTTAATATAAAAGAAAAAGAAAAAAAAGGAGATGCGCTACATATGAGAGAAAAATAAAGAAGTTAAAGGTAGACAATATATATATATATTTTTTTTTATTTTGATAATCTTAGTCTTATCGTTTTATAAAAGACTTATTTAAATCAACACATATAATAATTTTAAGTAAGTTATTTGTGTATATTTTAATAATTTTAACTCTATCGTTTAGGGGGTGAGAATTTGCGACACAACACGACAATATGACTCGAACTGTACACAAAATTAGCGGGTTAGGATTGATCATTTCCTGACACGAACACGTATATTCACGACCCAATAATATAAAAATTAAATATGTCAGATTAGTGTCAAATTTGTATAACACGAAATAGACACGGATAACCCGTATAATAAAGAATTAGTTACACATTTTAATATTATTTTCACTAAAGCGTATCATGACATTTTTTAATCTCTTACGTAATTATATCCAATTTATTAAAAAGTATGTAAAATACGATTTTAAGTTTAATATAAATTTTGTTTTTGCTTTTAATTAAACTTAATGTATTTTTTTGTCTTTTATTTGAGTTAATCTAGTAAAATATATAATAATAAAATATAATTTTTATAAATTAAGAAAATAAAATAAAGTTGAAATCAAATATTTTTTATAAATAATTTCATTTATAGAGATTAATTTCATTAAATTTAACTTATGAAGAAATTTTTACATTTTTTTTCATACATTTGATATTTTTAGTTAATAGTGAAATTTTTTGACAAGAGATGCTGACACAATATGAACCAAACACTGACTGAAAATGACACGGCACGATAACACGAAATAATAAATGGGTCAAGTTAGTATTGAGGTAATTCTTACACAAATATGACATGGACACGACCTAACAAGACACAATGCACACCCCTTCCTACTATATTAAATAAATATATATAATAATTTTAAATTATAACACACACAAAAAAAAAGAAACATTCATTTGATAATTTTAACCTTTCGTGCTACAAAAATGTAACTTAAATAAATATATATAATAAATTTATATGATATTAAAAATAATTGTTATAAAATTAAAAGTGATTCTAATTATTTAAGAAATTCAATATAATTATTATTATAAATAAGATAGACATAAAAATAAGAAATAATTTTAACATTTTATTTAAAAAAAGTGAAAAAAGTATAATAAAATTAATTGGTAAAGTATTTTTAGTATGTATAATTCTATTAGGTTTTGGTCATGGATAATTTAGATTAAGTAGAAGTCTTTTAAATATTAAATTTTAGGGAGACTTATTTGTAAGTCCTTTTTCAGACACTTATGATAGACTAAGTCCTGTGTAATTTCTTATAGAGTCTCAAGTCCTATTTAAATAGGAATGTATTCCACAAAAACGTGATGTGGCACTTACATAAACGTAACGTAACGTGACACCTACATAAACATAACGTGACACCTACATAAACGTAACGTGACGTGTCACGTTACGTTTCGCAAACTTAATGAGTTTTTATTTTTTTAAATTGAATGTTAAAATGTTGTTAGTTTATGTTGGTGTCATGTTACGTTTCATATAAATATGATCTATGGTAGCATTCAATATTAGTTGTTAATATCATAAATAATAGTAAATTGAATGTTACCATAGATCATAGGTGTCACGTTACGTTTATGTAGGTGTCACGTTACGTTACGTTTATGTAGATATGATCTATGGTAACATTCAATTTCCTATATACGAAATTGAATGTTGCCATAGATCATAGGTATCACATTACGTTTATGTAGGTGTCACGTTACGTTACGTTTATGTAGATATGATCTATAGTAACATACAATTTCCTATATAGGTGTCACGTTACGTATATGTAGGTGTCACGTTACGTATATGTGTCACGTTACGTTTATGTAGGTGTCACGTTACGTTACTTTTATATAGATATGATCTATGGTAACATTCAATTTCCTATATATGGTTTTACTATTATTTATGATATTAATAACTAATATTGAGGGTAAATGTGTCAACAAACTTCCTACAGAACTTATGGGAACATAAATTTTTTAGTTGGACCATATGTAGCATAAGTCTCCCTAATAGAACTTATAAATAATTTTCCCTAACTTGTAAAAAGAATTTTAGTAAAAAGATATATTGATGTGGTATTTTAATAAAAAAAGAAAAAAACAGAGATGTGTTGCATAGAATTAAAAACAAACAATACTTTTAATAATATATATATATATATATGATTATACTAATAATGTAAAAATTATTACAATATTAATTTTATAATAATTTAGATACGTGACCTAAAATAAGTATATGATGCTTTAACATTAAGTATCAAATATGTCTAGAAAATATTAGATATGTATCATTGAGTATCCGAAGAGTACCAATATCTATGAGTAAAATACGGACACGATCTCTTTTTTAAAGTATCTGTCCTCATAGGCTGTGGGTGAAAACATTGAATATGAAAAACCAGAAAGAGTCATGTACCGTGGGTTATATGAAAGCTTATGGAGAAATTTTGAAGCATTTGTGCATATGGCTTTTTTACCTGTGGCTAGAATCCATCTGGGCCTAGTTCCTCCTGCAACAAATGCCAAACCAAGACGAAATGAGTTGAATGTATTTCACATTTCACACTCTAATACCTTAACAAAGAACAGTTAAAGCCTCCATATATTATGGACTGAGGACTCTGAATTCAGGTTTTGAATTGCTAATACCTTTATTGGTGGTTGCACAGTGAAATGTCTGGTTGTCATTTTGACATTGGCCTCCTCCCTGGTAACACTTCTGACAATCCTCGGACACGCGCAATTCGAGAGGGAAGGTAGTGGCTAACAGATGGAATGGGTCACTGGCAGTAGCATTCATGTTTGAAGAATTCAGGGGCAGGTGAATTACTGAGCAGCTAGGTAGATCAGGGGGAGGAGGGGGGAGTGGATCGTCTGGAAATTTGTAGTACAAATTGTAGTCTTTGCATTTTGTGTAATTGTGATAACCCTTGAAATGATCTTCTGTGGGGGAAACCAGATCAGAACTTTTGTCGCATTTAAAGAAGGGGAGAAATGAATTGATTACTGTAAATGAAATAGAAGAAGAGTTGGGAAACTTCAAATCCGTGAAGGCGTTGCAATTTCGATTTTCTAAATGGGTTTGGAGAATTTGGTCATGGATTTGGACATGATATATGTTTTTGGATATGTTTTCTACTGGTATGACATCGTACCATGGTATGACATCGTACAACGGTCCTTCGTTTACCAGTTGAATTTGTGGATGTCGATTCGGTACACCACAAGTTACCGTGCACAACCCACATTGGGAATACGTAGAATTGGAGAATGGAAAGCTTAGTGGTTGATGGAATGGTTTGCAGTCGAAGAATTTGGGACAAGTAACCTGGATTTTGTTGTCTTCTTGGGCCGAGAACGAGTGAAGAAGAAGAAGAAGATGAGAGAGGACAAAGAGAGAAAGAAAGAAGGGAACATCCATTTGAAAGTGGGAAATTCCCAGAAATAATTAAAAAAACAAAACAAACAGGATGAAACGATCTCCCTAAAAACTCGTAACTTTTGTTTGTTTGTTTGTTTGATTGAAAGACCTGCGCAACACGGCAGTTGACTTGAATGATCCCAATTGGCTCTCTCTATTTCTTCCTTGGAATGGTCGTCGTGCAAAGACTGCAAATGCTAGAGTTTCTTTCTCAATTTCCTCACTCCTTTGAATTTTTAGTCCGATTTTATCCACTCATCAACACTCCTCTTATTGGTTAGAACAACAAGGTTCACTGGGCCCACCTCACTATTTTTAAGAATCAAAGAGAATAAAAAAAAAAAAGTCAATGATAGGTATTACGAAAAAATTTTCATCAAAATAATCATGAAAGTTTTGTAACGTTTTGTGACTTTTAGGTTACATTTAGAATAAAGCATCACATACTAATCAAGTTAATCCAAAGTTCAAAAAAAATTTATGATCATTTTTATGAAAAAAATTTCATGATCCCTAATCTATCTAAAAAAAAAAAATGATCCACGGAGTAAATACTCCAATGACCTGGTTTTACGCAATTTATTTGAGCTGTTTGTAATTTTATATGAGCAAAGATCTTCTAGAGTTTTTTTCTCTCTAAAGTTTCCTAGAGTGGTGTGTTGTATGGTTGAGGTTTAATGACAAGTCACATCAATTTTTTAGTATTAAATCTCACCCACACAACACACCACTTTAAGAAACTTTAGGGAAAAAAAACTCTAGAGGATCCTTGGTGATTTTGTATATGTATTTTTTTTGTTTTGTTTAAATTTGTGCTAGTTGTCTGCTTGTAACTAATTAGGTATAAATAGTTTAAATAAGTAAAAAAAATGATGATTTTCAAAAAGTGGTGAGATGTGTGTTTTTATCTTTTGGTTCTTAATTATTATTTGTTAGTTTATAATAAATTGTACTAAACATACCCAATGCATTCCTAATTGATTTACAAGTTTATTTCTTGGGTAAATTACATTGACTTGTTTGAGGTTTGGAAAAAATACATTAGGCTTCGTTTGGGAAGTGGTTTGATTATTTGGCTTTTTGATTTTTTTGGCTATTTTAGCCTAGGGCTAAAAAGCCTGGTTTGGAAAGGGTTTTTGATTTTTTTAGCTTTTTTGACTTTTTTGTAAGAGAAAGAATGTAATAATTATGCATTAGATGTGATATTTTGTCTTATTGGGCTAAAAAGCCTATTTTATTTTTTATGACTATTTTAGCCAAAAAATCCTCAAATCCAACTTCCCAAAAGTGTTACAGGTTTAATATGAATACATTAGACTTCCTTAATGTTTTAATTCACACAACATATAATTTCTTTGTTTTATCAATAATTCGTTAGTCACATAGAAGGAAAAATAAATATTGTTGTTTCTTTTACGTTGAACTTTATATTTTATCTTATTTATTTTTGCATCTTCACATTTTATCTTATTTATTTTTGCATCTTCACAGAATGTTCATTAGTGGTAGTCTCTTTAATCACTAGAAAGAAGTTTGTATAATTATGTCAAAATTATAAGACTTAATATATTTTCTTCAAATCTCAAATGAAGTTAGTGTAATTTATGTTTAATTTTATGAATTCGCCTAGTTAACAGTTTTTAAATGAAATCCATCTTATTTTTCCAAGTAATGCTACAGATATTGCATTTTCTATCACATTTAAGTCATAATTAAAAGCACCACAATGGATAGTAATCAAACACTATTTGAGACATAAACGAAGGCAAAGTTGATCATAATTAAAATAATAATCAGAATAAATCATAACGAGGTTATATCTAACACCAAGTCTTAATTTGGGCACCTAATACAATGTGTCATAACTACACACCACATAATTCATAACTACAGATCACAAAAGATTATAACCAAACATATAATAAACCATTCTATTAAAAAAAAAAGACATAAAATAAACCCTAAAAAAGAGTGTATTATAGAATTTACTAATAATAACACATGAGATGAGATATATAACATTACTCCATTTCTTTAACAATCAACTAAGAGGATTTTGTTCAATAATTTTTCTTTTTTCTTTTTCTTTTTCTTTTTTTATTTTGATTTTTACCATGAGATAATTTATAAATATAAGAAGAATTATATTAAATTAGACAATTATACTCCACCGACAATATCTATAAGCTGAACAACTAACACTAAAGACCAATAATTAATTCAATTGTAGTCCTTGCTAGGTTTTTTTTGTCTGGCCTTTTGTACTTTGTTGTGCTTTTGTTTTTTTTCTTTCCTTGTTTTTTTTTTTTAAATTTTATTCAACAATGATTCATCCCACTAAAAATATCACCACTAATAGCACTAATGCATTAAAAAAGTGAAAAAAAAAATACAACTCCAAGAGCAAAACATCACATCATTAATGGCGGGACCCACTGTCACCTAATTAGTGGGAGCACTAATTAGTGCTCCCAAGCATTTTTCAATTTTATTTTAATCGCATCATAACTTTTCTCCAAAATTAATTCAATAAAGAGTCAATAACAAGAGAAAATAAACTCAACAAATACGAAGTCTTAGAACAAATCTATAGGGGATTTTAACACTCTTACATGGGAGCCGAAATTAAGGTTTCATTATATGCTTTGGATGTTAGTAAGTTTAACCTCATTGAACAATAAGTTTAATCTCATTAAACAATTATACTGACTCAAATCTAAATATTAAACAAAGAAATTCGAGTATGTACCCGCTGAATCAACCCCTAATGGATCAATCTTCATTTTTTGAGGCGGCAAGAATTGCTCCTTTTTTCTTTCCTACACAAAAATAAATTTCAACTGATATAAGTCTGAATGCACTAAAGTCCATTAGAAAAACTTGTTAGCTCCTCAGAAACGTCAAGAAATTGTATAGAGAGACATGGAAAAAGTCTTGTCCAACTGTCACTTTGGCTCTCAAATTTCCATTTGAAGAAAAAAAAAAAAGAAAAGAAAAGAAAGGAAAATGTTAAAATGAGACGACTTGGTCTATTTACTTCACCAACTACCCTGGTAATAGCAACTCTAATATTATTGATAAAAGTGTATATATCAAGTATATTTGGTATCTTGGGTAATAACTGTGAAGTTTAATAACACTCTCTCTACTATTCAAATTAGTTTTTCAGCCTGGAGAAAAGCTGGGCAAGGGTCGGTCTTGAGCTGCTAAATTGTCTAAAAAATAGGATCTCAAATAAATTTAACAACCATGCTAAATACCCCCAGTGGGGGTCGCACCCCCAGTGAGGTGGCGCGCCCCCACTGGCTGACAGTCCAAAAAAAAAAAAAAAAAAAAAAAAAAAACAATTTTTTTCCGCCCAATCACAGGCCTCCACCTCACTGGGGGCGACCCCCAGTGGGGGTATAAGGCATTTTTCTAAATTTAATTCTAATGTTATCTTTGATTTACAAAAATGTTCATTCTTATGTTTGGTCCATTAAAAAAATATACAACAAATGAAATCGTAGTTTACTGTTTTGAGGAAATAATCATTAACAAAACTCTACAGCAAATGGAATTGTAGTTTACCGTGAAATAATCATTAACAACACACTATATATGATTTAACGGCGTTTTTTTTAAACGCTACTATTTTTAACATTTAACGACGTTTTATAAACGTCACATTTTGTTTTCATTAAAACGGTATCGTTTAAGTAATAGAAGTCTTTTGGAAAGCGCCTTCAAATGTGTTACAGTGTCTCTCTCGCTCTCTCTCTCTCTCTCTCTCTCTCAACCCTTCAGCTCCTTCAACTCGGTTTAACCTTCTTCAGCTCGGTGATTCATCATTCGGTCGATCCAATCTCAGGATGATTTTTGATTTCGAGGCGCCACCGCCATCTGCATCTGCATCTGCATCTACATCGTCTACTAACCATCTGCACGATTTCGATTTCAATCCAATCTCAGTTTCGCCGATTCTTCTCTCTCTCTCTCTCTCTCTCGATCTCTATCTCTCTCGCACAATCTCGTTCTCTGTGTACACATTATCTGTACTTTTTTTTGGTTAATTTTTTTCTCCTGAAAATGTCTCTATACAAGGATATATATGAATTCATATATGTATCTCTACGTATTGATTGAATAATCATCCTTATTTTGTTTTCAGGCTCTCCAATGATCCATTCGTTGATCGGCAGTGACAGAAAAAATCAACTCCTGTGAGAAAAGAAACCCTAACTTTCTCATTGGAGGTAGGTTCTAATATATTTGTTTACATGTTTGTTCTGGTTTTGATCTTGTTTACATTTGTATTGAACAACTCTGTGTGAGCATTTTGTTCATTGTTTGGGATTTGATATCAATTTATTAGCATTTGTAGTTTGAATGCCATGTTTATTGACAAATGTGTTTATTAAAAGCACAGTTAATTTGAGCTCATTTTATTATTATTATTATTATTATCATTATGTTTCACTCTCTAATTCTCTCTCATCCCTGTTAATTGGAAATTTATAAACCCTATTTTCATCTCATGGGCATATCCCTTTAAATTTGCTTCTGTTTCTATTGTTGAGTTTCGATTGCATTGATAGAATATGTGTAGTTTCCACTTGCATGATATCCAATTGTTGTAAGGCTCTTCCTGGCTCACATTACATCTTTAACCTTTCTTTTTGCAAATGATTTTGCAAACTTAGTATTGATGGAAATTACAATAATTTCAACAACGAATCTTTTCGTCTTATATGTAAATTCACTTTCATTTGAAGCATTTAAGGCCTTGTTTGGTTTGGCTTTGGGAAAAAGATTTTGGAAATTTTGTTTGGTTTGTAATTTTTCTCAAAAAATTTCCAAAATTACTCTCTCTCTTACATATCAATCAATCACTTTTTCTCTCTCCTCTCTTTTTTTCAATCATTTTTTCTCTCACATATATCTACTCAATTACAACAAAATATCAAATCATTCCAAACTCTCAAATTTGAAAACAATTTTCAAAATATACAACCAAACAAACAATAAAAATTTCTAAAATCTCTTCCCAAAATATTTTTTGAAAACTTATCTCCCAAAGTCAAACCAAACAAGGCTTAAATCTCTTGCTGGTGACTCTGATGCTGATAGTCTCAAAGCTTTTATACATTGAATTAGTTCTGGTGTTAAAGATAGTCTCTCGCCAATTGTCCTTTCTCCAAGTTCTGATAAATCCGACAGGACTTCTGAGTTTAAGTCAATTGGTTTATTTACTCTCATGTAAAGCTTATTTATTTATTGGGGGCAAGGCTTTGTATTGTCAATCATTCATATTTATGTCTTTCAGGCGGTGCATACTTTTTTCAAGGAGCATGTGAAATTCCTTGTTACAGACACAATAGATGGGCTAGACACCCCATCAAAATGCATTCGTGTGTGGTTCAATGCAGGAGGGAATAATGGAACAGGCAGAAACTCAGGAGGGAATAATGGCAAAAGCAGAAACTTAAAGAAATGGAAAGATAGGAGCAGTAAGCGTTACGACAATAGAGGTTCAGACAATTGGCCTTACCCTCTCGATAAGTTTCTTAGGTAATATTTACATTGTGTTTGTATTTTTCATATCTTTCTAAACATCCGTGCTCTTTTTTTGTGTTTTTGTTTTTTTTGGTCATAGTTGTTCTAATCATCTTTTGGACATAGATGTCTTTTCTGCTCACTGATCTGTTTGAAATATCAAGAAATCAAAGTAATTAGCTTTGCAATGATGCAGTCTATGCATTACATAAATGTATCATCAACAGTGAGAATCATTTGACCCAAAAAGGAGAAGCCTGGTTAAGAAGAAAATGGTGGTAGCAAATTATATTGAGGTAAACAGAAAATGAGCACGAAACTGGAGTTGATAGTTCTTTGGCGCCCTCTCTTTCTGAGTAGTCCACATATTATTATTACTTAGTTAATGCAATCAACTGTATTCTGAATCTTTTGCTGCATGCTGCTTATTTTACGCACTTAAATGTGTCTCACATGGAGTATTATTGAGCCATAATCCATGGAATAGTAGAATCTAAATTACAATAACATAATTAAGCTTATTTTAATAAGTTTTCCTTCTCAACATCAGGATTGATTCACGTTTGGACTGGATTAAAAGTCTGAAACAAGTTTACTTATTACCTTCGGAGCGACTTGAGCATGTAATAGAGAAGCAGTTGTTAAACCTCTCAACAATTTTTGTCAATGGTGTGACATCTAATAGAATCATTCTTTTTCTTTTTCCCCATGAAAGCTTCTATAGATGACTTCCAATTATTACTTATGGTTATGGGTTTAAGTGGTGTTGGTTACTCTTGGTCACATCTGAGAAAGCATCTGCCATTTCAGGTTCCATCTTTATGAGGAGAATAAGGATACCCATGAGGCATTAGGACTGATTGGAAAGATGCTAGGCATTCAGGTATATTTGATTTAGCTATGCTGAAGTGAAGTGTCTTATATTCTGTTCACTCGCTGATGTGCAATGAAATAAAAGAGAATATATATATTTCCTTTTTTTCCCCTTTCTTTTTCATTTTTTCTTCTCACTGGGTTGTAATCTTGTAATCATATTCTGCAACTAGAAATGATGCAGGGGTAGTGCTTTTTTTCTTTTTCTTTTTCTTTTTCTTTTCTTTTTTGAATTATGTATTTGTTGTGTAGGAATAATTTCCATATTCCTAGCTGATGGAAATTACAATGAATCTTTTCTTCTAACATGTAAATTCACTTTCATTTGTTGTGCATAAATAATGATTAGATGGTTATGTGGAGCATCATGATTGGTAATAAAGCAATAATTTATATAGAAAGAGACCATAACCATAAGATTCTTTAGGCACATGTAATGTAAGTCTGTGATCGTCAAATTAAATATGCGTTTTGACTAATAACTATGTCCCCATGACTAATGTACATTGTAATTTTGTTACAACTTGTTTAGACCCTTTTGTCTTTGAACATACAGTTTTAGTACTTAGTCATCAGTCATGATTATCTTTGCTATTGCTGCTTGCACTAGGATTTTCTATTTCAGTTTTTAGTCTTCTTCTGAGTGTGCACCCCTTATCTTCTACTAAGCCTTGAATTCTTGGCTTTGGGTTATCTCTTGTACTAATCTACAACGTTTAGCATCTAAACTTTAATGGCCCTGTTTTTCTCCGAGTTTTATGGTCTATTTATTTCAAATGGATTTATCTATTTTCTTGCATAGACTTTGTTACAAAATATCTATTTCAAATGAAAGTTCTGCATCTAGATTGGCTCAGTCTCTTTTGAAGAACTAGTTTAAAAGAGTTATTCATGGCTTTGTTCTTCACGATGTCTGGCTGAGACTTCTGAACAGAATACTACACTTGTAAGATAAGAAATGCCCCCCCTTTCAAGATGAAAATAGAGGGAAAAAAATGGTAGGTAAAAATAGAGTTTGATCACCCAAGCTCTAGGTCATTGTTATTTCAACAACATATTTCTTTCTCATGAAAACACACAAGGGAAGAACCTATAAAAGGTCAATCACCATACCAAAAGGAGAGGAGAAAGTTTGTTTAGGTCCTGGACTCCCAATACCCGCTTGCTCAACTTGTTTAAAACTTTTTCACATTTAAGGCTTGGGTACTTCAGTGTGAATTTAGCTGTGATCATATTGGGACTGCCTTCCTGGCATTGTATCTAGATAAATGCCCAATTTACATATTCAAAATGCTGTCAAATTTGATAAGCTTGTTTAAAAAATTGTGTGAATATATATTTATGTTCTCTTCCAGATTGATAGGTCTGGGAGGATACCTATGTTGAGGTTCCGAGATCGTGAATCATATGCTGGGAACAAGACAAAGGAGTATGATGATCTTACAAATAGTTTAATTATCTTTTCAATATTTATATTTTTGTGTGATTTTGTTTTTTTCTGTTCTCATCTGCATTCTTGCAAGTTAGATACGTATGTGTTATCTCATCCTTAGAATTTCACATGCAGGAACGACTTCTTCAAGCTCGATACAAAAGGAACATGGCTGAGTCCTCTTCTACTTCTTTTTGGGTTTCTTTTTTTTTTTGGGGTATACACTTAGGATTGTTTTTCAGAACTTGCTCCTAGAATCAAATGCCGAAATATTGCAATGTTCAGAGAGGGTTTGGAGGCTCCTTCTTCAGGTTTTAAATTCATTGGAGTGAGCACTTTCATTAAAACTCAGTTTGTTCATCTTTCACTCTCTTATTGTTCTTAATGCTTGAAATGGTTGGTTTATTTTTTTATTTTTTTCTTCTTGCTGCAATTCTTGTTCCTTCAATTGATATTAGTGCTCAATGGAAGACTTGGAAGCTGCTGAAAAGTTGTATATTGGTTATTGGTTAGAATTGGCAACTACTCTTGAATATTGGTTCGATTTATTTTTTATTTTTTTATTGTTGCTGCAATTCTTTTAAATGTTATTCATCTCACATTGATGAGAGCTACTTTTGAAGTTAAAGTATTACGACTTTTTCTTGACCATTTTGATTTCAGTTGATGTATTTAAAGTTTGAATATGAATTATTTTTATGCTTTGGTATGCAATGCATTGTTCCTTATTTTTAATTTTGTTTTCAAGCTTAGTTTGTTTATTATTTTAATAAACATAAATTATTAGTTCTTAATAATTGTTTATGACAG